ACTCACTCTCAGCAGGTCCCGTGTGCGCCGGGCTGCAGAGTCATTGACTGCGCGCACTGCCAAGTCATCCTGGTACTGCCTGCAGTTCATCCCCTCGTGGATTGCCTGGGAAAAAAAGAGGAAGAGAGGGTTACAGAGGGTGAGCATCAGGCTCTTGCTGTCTTTGAATCAGTATCTAGAAGCTTGTGTGCTGATGTGATGTGTTTATACATCATGTGTTCAACGTATAAACACTGAACTGGCTGCAGGGTTAATGCAGTGTGTGTCTTTTCTGCAGAGTGTTCATAAGTTGCATAAGCAGAGCATGCATCACCTTGCAGAGCAGGCAATTAGTCCTCCGGCAGACGGGGCAGTTGAATGTGTTGACGCTGTCCTCGTACTCACACCAGCCAGGGCAGTCCGGACTGGCACAATGATAGCTGCTTTCACTGCGACACTCCGCTACAGCCAAGCCCCGTGCCAGGAAGCGCTCGTACTCCTCTGCTGACACCAACTGGCAGAGACAGAGAAGGGAAGAGGTGTTGGAACAACCTGCAGCTCCTGGCATCGCACTACACAGCCCAAAGAACATGATCCTGCTTTCTCACTCAGAGCAGTCTCTGACACCACTGAAGCAGTGCAGTTAGCCCTGGTCACTACTCCGAGTCCTACTGGCACCCAAATTCCAGATATAAACACTAGTCTACTACTACTGATCTAAAAAGACTCTGGAAAATTCCAATTAATCCGGAAATAAACCCTCTGTGGATCCCTCTCTCTTTATTAAATCCCGGTCTGTTTACCAGATCAGGGTGAGATCAAAGTGAAACAGAGAAACAGACCCTGATGAAATACAGGCTCTATGTTTCTAACACAGCCAGGCCACGTAAATTGGGTGACAAAGGCAGACCTGGCTTCCCAGAGAGGACAGGCTGTGCTCTTACTAGACTGTGAAAAAATACTCAGGGATTAGAGAAACATTCTTCCTCAAAATCCTCTCCCCGAATTCCCACACCTGCCAGAATCAGAACAGCTTCCAATTCTTATAGGGGAGGAATAGAGCTGCAGCCCAGTAACTTGTACGTTTTCTTCACAGAGGGACAACATCACACATACGGCACATAAGTGACCTCCTGTAACAGCCTGAGAAACAGAGAGTGATCCTCTCAAATAAGAAAAAGGGCAAAGGGAAGGAATGAAGAAGAGGAGAGGGTTGGAGTTGACGGAAGAGAAAAAGAAGTGAGGAAAGAGAGGGATGTTGGCAGAAAGGAGAAACAGAAAAAGAGAGAGATTCACAGGAAGAGGGGTAAGTGTTTAAGCAACGCCTTACCGCACGGATTTCTCTCTCCTGCAGGGTGCTATCACAGGCATAGGCGTCATCGCGGTAAGGACAGGACACCTCCGGGTCCTCACACACGTGGATCACCGACCGCAGGCAATCTCTGTGGGCACCAAAATCATCCTCAGACACACCGAAACACTTACTCACTAACACTCACTTCTCTAACTCACTGAGATACTAACGCACTCAATGCTAAATAATAAGATTACAATGCACTGGACATTTAGTGACATTGAGAGTGTGACAGGCAAAGAGGGCCACAGGAAACAAAACAGAAGAACAGGAGACAGGGAGCGATCAGCCTAATACAAAGAAATTGAGGAAAAAAACGCTGAAGACCGAGATGGAGAAACACAGTGGAAAACTGTTGAGTGACTTTGAATCAAAATGACTTTCTCCCCATTCCTCTGTCCCCTGTGCTATTCCATTATCAGGATCCCTGCTAATAGAAACCAAGAGCCTTTCCTGGAAAAATAAAGTGAAAAGAGAAACATTTTTGAAAGGCATAAGGAAGATGGACAACTCAAACACAATCTCTCAGTGAGGGAGAACATTCTCTCACCTGCAGAAGCAATGCAGACACTCCCTCAGCAGTACTCCCTCTCCAGGCTGTAACTCCAGGTAACAGATACGGCATTCCACACTTTCCCGGTTTGGCACCAAGTCCTGGGAATCAGTCTGGACTAGCCTTGCAAAGTTCCTCTGTCGTTCCGCTTCCCGCACCTGTGTGACAGGGACACAGATCAGGGCTTAGAGGTCAGAGTTAAAGGCCACCACTCTGAAGGGTGTACAATACACATGGTCCACTTCAAGCCCTATCCAGGAACGGTCCTTCAAAAACAATTCCCTGTGGAAGCCTTTGATAATCAAAATCAGTCAGCTGAACCCAGTCCTTGACTGGAATCGACCAGAAGAGACTGTATCTGATAAGATAAAAATACTTTATTAGCCATATACAATTTCTTGCATTAGGAATTAGTCTTTTCGCAGAGGGAGAGAAGCTTGGGGTCAGAGTGCAGGGTCAGCCATTGTACAGCACCCCTGGAGCAGTTGGGGTTAAGGGCCTTGCTCAGGGGCCCAACAGAGTAGGATTCCTCTGCCGGCTGCGGGATTTGAACTACAACCTTCCAGCCACAGGCGCAGATCCTTAACCACAGAGCCACCGCTCTCCAATCCTACAGTCAGACTGTACTGTAGATGTGTGTGCGCATGTTTTTTATTATCTAAATGAGACATATTATCCAACCTATTGTTAAGAGTTTTGTCACAAATGCCTTGTTTCAGTAATTGATGATAGTTTAAATTTCAGATGAAGCAGCTTATTATTATTATTATTATGAACCCCCTAGAGATCTGGTGTTTGACTACCTGTCCTATATGCAGTGGGATACTCTGGGGCTCCACGTCAAGCTATGCGTGGCATTCTGCGAGGTCTTTCAAGGAGAGATCAATAATTTGCTAACAACCCAATAAACAAGCACGTTTGAACACTCATCTTGTGATCCTTCATAAATCTGGATATTCCTGTACTCTAGGTCAGGTATCTCGTTCCAAGAGCCTGGTCTGCTAGAGCATCTTCTTGATTACACTTCAACCAAAAGTGTCAATTACTGCTCTGAACTACTAAGTTTAAATTGCTAGGACTCCTAGCCACTGAAGTGACTAACCTAAAAAAATCGACAGCTTTCCCGGACCAGGACACTGAGTCCCGGGCAGGCGCTGCGGGTGTGAAGCCAGGCACAGCTCCCATGATGACCCTGGGGCTCTGTGCAAACCAGACAACAGACGCTGGTGCTCCAATTCATTTTACGAACCGACATTTAATGCAGTTTTTATAGTATGCATCTCATACCAGCCACAGGGCCGGGAAGAATAACATATAAAGGCAAGAGTTTTAAAATAAGTCTCTTTATTTCTAAACAATATTTGTTTACAGTTAAATACAAGTTTCACTTTAATACAAAGAACTTAACAGTGGCTTTCTTGTATTCATTCGCCTGCAGTCTGGCTGTAGTAGACCCATGCAGAACCAGACACAGTTCCAGCAGATTGCTAAAGTTTTCAAAACACTTTATACACTTTGTCAGTATCTTGAGATATAAAACCATTTAGAACTGCAAAACAATTAAGACAACCTACGTAAAGGTTCAGTTAACTAGGTGCTCCATTGGAACAATACAAAACGGAAGCAGAAGAGGTTCTTACAGACTAGGAACAGGAAGCTCTTCCTCCCCTGGAGGTGCTGTTTCAACACTGAAACGACCTCCATCACAAAGGAACAGGACTGATGCCCCCCACTGTGGAGAGCGGTAAAGCCTCTTGCTCCTCCATACCCCTGCCACCTTCCACAGCAGGGCGCACACTAGGGGACACACCGGGCATTACGAGAGACCCCCACTGCTCTTAGGGACACCGCTGTAACCTGGGGAAGTGCCACAGTAGGGCCCTGCTTCAAGAAACATTGGCCCTTTCACTGCAGCCCTCTGGAGAGGCCTGATCCTACTATTTATATTAATAGTTTGGATGGTGCTTCTAATCCAAATCGTGTCACATTTGTACCCACTTATACTGCTGGGCATCTTGTTGAAGCAAAGTGGGTGAAACTTCTTGCTTAAGGGCACAAGTGTAGTAGCATCCCTGTGATGTGAACCCACAGCCTTCCAGTTAACTAACTGCTTAATTCATTGATCTTATTCAATATAGATGCTTAAATTATGAAGTGTTAGCTGGAAAAAATACCGAGATATGAATCTGTGAAAAACTTGAGGGATAATACAGAAGTGCTAGGGGAAGGGACCATATTAGCCTGCAGCCTGAGGACATAATAAAGATTGCAAATAAGATTAGGCCATTGAGCCCATCCAGCTCAACTGGTAGTTAGGGACAAATTAATTTGATGATCGCGTCCAGCTGATTCTTGAAAGAAGTCAGAGTTTTGGCTTTCTGGGGGGATTTTGACTACATGAGTGGGTAGCCTGTTCTATATTCCCAATACCCTTTGTGCAAAGTACTAATGTATGAGAGAAGAAAGGAAAATGACCCAACTAGTGACAGAACAGTGTGGCACAATGATCTCTGGCACAGAAAAACACTGACCACAGATGTGGCCCTCCTTACCCCCGTCCCTGAGATATATGGCCCATGAAATGGCACTAACCAGAAAAGCCACAGCATGAAACAAAAGCTGATCATCTACTTACAAAGGTTTCTTACTTTTGACAGATGAGAGAACAACCAGAAACAGAGCATTGTGTCCAGGCTGTAGCTAAGTGAAGTAACTGTTCCCTTCCTCAAGGTTTAAAACAGCCTGACACTAGCCAAAAAACGGGTGCTAGAAACTCTCAGTTTCTACTTGTTTCTAAGGAAAGAGTGAAACATTGTAGTCGCAGTTAATGGGCAAACAACCTGGAGTCAACAATAAGATTGCTGGACATATATACATACATATATGCCTACTGGTTCATCTGACTTATTTTTCAACAACTACAATCACATAATCATTAAAAGTGTTCCTGTGTCTTTTTATCATATACAAGCTTTTGTATTTCATGTGTAATAAATAGACTGTATATAATCCACCAAAGCATACAAAACATAAACAACATCCATTTTACACTATTGACCTACCCCTATAGAGCACCTTTGATTTTAAACTTATACAGTACTTACAGTATTTTTACCTTGTTTTAGTTGTGCATTTTCCGGTTATTGCTGGGAAAATCCAATATTTCTGATTTAGCAGACAAAACTCACTTTTAGCAGATTTAATCCGTCTGTTCAAAGTGTCCAGAATTACAGATATAAAAAAAACTAAATGCATTTCACAGATCTTTAACTTACTAGGCAATCTGTTTTCTCTGCCCCTATGATTTTTCAATAAACATTTTACGTATGATACCTTTAAGCCCTTAAAGCGGAATATAAACAATCTGTTCATGGCAGAAATAGTTCATTGTCCACACTGCTGTGTAACATGTGTTATTGTTATTGTCATAATGCTCTGTTTATGCACTGTTCCCATACACCATCTGTCGTATGCCTGAGAACAGGTAGATAAATCAATTTCAGGATAGACTTTTACAAAATATTCCAAACCTCACAGACTCCTGAAAAACAGACCAAGTGCCAATTCTGAATAAAACAAGCAAACAAAAAGACGGATAGAACTTGGATGAAAATGGTGCCAAATGTTCTATGTTTAGTTTAAGCTGAGGGAACTGGGTCTTAAAACAATACAAGGTTAGAGGGGTGCCCATACAGAGACAGGGATCACAGAGTCATCCTCTGACCTCACAGAACATAATGGTTTTGAGATTTCCCAGTGCATTTGTGAACAGAACCCTTGATGTGGTGAACGACCCTAGAATAATGGCTCACCCAAGTCTGCTACAACTTGGCTCATTATCACCAATACCAATTAAGAATCTGAGTTAACTTATTATATATTTCAAAATTATTCAAGATTATTAATTTATTCACAATTACAGGGTGCTTTTCAGTTATTTTCTGCTCAAGGGTATTAAGGTGCTCTCTTAAAGCAGTCAAATTCCAGACACGTCAAAGTGCAAGTTTTGAAAGGGACAACACAGGAAGTGAATATAGCAATTAAATGTTTTCAAGTCAACCAACTTTGGAAATATCGTCTGGCTTTTGCTCACCATTAGAACAATGATAATTCCTTGTACTTGAGCAAAGAAATTCATACTGTTAACACTATGCAGGAAGCTGTGATCCCAACGCACTAGGACACCACTTAGTTACACAACATAAACAATACAATTCAAAATAACAAAAAATACAATACTTTAAAAATATAACCGTTTTAAAATCCTGTTGCTGGTAGCTGTACCCCTTCTGCAGAAATGTCTGTAAAGCAGGCAATACAGGCAGTGTGCAGCGGGGGTGCCGTGCAGGTGTCTCTCATGGCTCTGCTGTTTCTGATGTTAGTATGCTGTGTGTGTCAGTGTGTGTGGTAAGTACAACAGTATGCCATGTAGCAGCAGTCCAGTCAGAAAGCGGATTCAGGATGTGTTGTACAGGGTTGTGTGAAGACCTGCAACCTGCTCCCACAAACCTACATCGCAATAACGCAGGTTGGGATTTTAAAGTTGTCCTTCTAACTCGAAGCAATGAAATTTTAGTCTGAGGAATAATCCTTCCCTGCACTGGAGGCGTCTTCTAAGCAGAAAATATCACAAACAATCTAGACAACATCAAAGTCTTTTGTGAAATTAAAAATAAATGTAGGTCATATTTTAAGGTTTACTATATGGCATGTTCCTATTGCTCCGTAAGTGGCACAGATTTCTTGTTTCGTAACGTAATACCGATCAAATACTGCCTCTGCAGTGTTAATCGGCAATTAACAGAAGGTTAACAAATAATTTAAAATAGGAACAAGTGAAAAAAAATGTTTGGTATAGGTATCTGGTTAGCAGCAAAGAGCAAAATGAATATTGCAAAGATTTAACACCCAGATTGATTCAATTGCTTTGAAAACATCTCCTATCTAGGAGTGTCCCGGACTCCTGGGGTCTGGGTGTCCGGGAGCCCCCGTTGTGCGTGAGTGTGGGCCAGTCAGTGGTGTGTCAAGAGTTGGTTATGGTGTCAGTAGTCCAGACTCGGGGGCAGGTTCAGATTGTGCAGCAGGGCGTTGTTCTGTGTGGCGGCGCCCCCCAGCACTTCTTCTCTTCTCCCTTTCTCCTTAAACACAGAGAGAGAGGAGAGGTCAGCATGAGGGAGCGTCCCAGGCTCAGTTACACCCTACCTGTCCTTCCGTCTGGCTCTTGATGCCCCTCCACCTTGTCTATGCTACATCCCTATCCCCTCTTCCTACGTTTGACCCCCGTCTATATCTCTTTCTCGCTTTTCATCTGTGTCCTTATCTCTCTGTTCAAGTCCCTTTCCTGTCCTTTACTGCTGCCATATTCCCAAGTTTTTCCCATGCTCCTCTGTCCTCCTAACTCACAATCCTACAGTCTGTACCCCACACGTCTGCCCCCTTATCCCTAACCATGTGCCTCTGCACATGCTCATCTGCCCCCCTTCTTCTCTGTCCTTATCCTCCTGACATTCACACACCTTTCCCTGCTGTTCTCTTCCTTCTATGTCCACCTGTGTCCATAGAGTCCCCTCTCCCTATTCCCAGACATCTGCTCTGTCTGAACACGTACACCAAGAAAATCCACATGACAAGCCCACGACCCCGTGTTTCAGACATGTCGTTGTGGACAGACTGACTGAACCACTGACTGAGACACTCACTGACCGTCTGGCTGACACACTAGCTGCCTGTCGATTTGAAGCAGTGCAGAGAGAAGACAACAGTCCACCCTCAAGCAGAGCGCAGAGCCACGACAGCAAACAGTCTGTACTACCTGCCCGGGCAGTCACTCCCCACACTTTTGCTGCTCCTGGTTCTGTCTGTCTGCCCTTTGCGCACGAGTACATTTGACTATTTTTGTCATGTTGGTGTGTCCGTCTGCCCTGGGTGTCTGCGAATCAACCTATCTGGTCTGCGGCCCATTATGTCTGTGAGTGTGGCAGTGTGTCTGTCTGTGTCAGCGTGACAGTGTGTGTCTCTCAGTTCCTCACTGCCTCAGTGTCAGTCTGTCCTACCTGCTGGTACTGTCTCACTGCCTCTTTCTCCTGCTGGATGCGGTGCAGCTCTTCGGGGTCTGGGCGGTACCCCCCTGGCACCACGTACCCTACGGGCCGGTCTGAGCTGCAGATCTCACAGCCCGGCCTCGTGGGCTTGTTGATGAAGGTACAGGAAGGACATGACCAGCCAGCCTGCGATGGGCGAGAGGGGGAGGGGTTGAGAGAGTGAGGGAGAGGTAGGAAGGTGGAAAAGGTAAAGAAAGAGAGGCATAGCGAGTACACAGAGAGAAGGGTAGACAGAGCAGATGAAAGAGTAGGAGTAGGGCAGAGGAAGAGGGGAAATGGTGAAGACATGGTTAGAATTCACATATATCCAATTGTTCTGAATAAATCCTTGCTTGATTTTACATGGTGAAACATTACAGACACTGGACACAAGGCAAAACATAAGGATGTCTTGTTCCACTTGAAAAGAATTCCATTGTATACAACAGACACAAGCCCTTTTAGTAGGATATTAACAGCAGCTTAAGTAAAACATTAAAACCTACATAAAATTCCACTGCTCCTTAAACCTGACATAAAAACATGGCCACGCACACAAAGGTGGTACTGTTGCGCTCTTGTGTTAGGCTGACACAGTATTGGCAGTGCACACTACCTGTGTGTTGCTTGGTGCAGAGTTAGCTGTGCTGCTGCTCAGTGCCTCATTTAGCTGCAGCATCTCCAGATTAATCAGATCTCTGATGTCACCGATGCCCATCCGGTCTGTCCCACCCCCTCCACCTGCACAGCCAACCAAAAGAGATAAGACATCCATCAGAAGCCAATAAACATCTTTCCCTACTCTAACTCCCAATCACAAAACTCGGACAAGAGAAACTGACATTTCAATATCGTTCTGTACACAAACCAACACAGAGCTACCGGCAGATAAAACACAGGGAGATGAACAGCAGCTGTTCACAGCAAGTCAGACAGAAAATGAAAATAAATGTCATTAGCAGGTTCCTCGTCCCTAAGAAATTCCAGAACATTACTCAGCCATGTCCTCAGTGATCCCAGGGAATAAATGACATAGCTCATCAATGTGTTCTTGTCCCCCACATCACTTCTGGTTTGTTCTTTGTATGTTCTGGACTGTGAGTAACTCTTCTTAGTGCACTTCTCACTGTACTGATTGTATTGTATTGTATGTATTGCATTATTATTATTGTATCATTTGTTACACTGTTTTGTGTTGACTGTGTTAAGCTGCTGTAGCACTGCAATTTCCCTCACGGGATCAATAAAGTATCTATCTAAAGCAAAAAAAATAATTATTATAATAATTATAATAATAATTCTCTTAAAGGGGAAATGCAACACTATATTTATATTTCGAGGTTAGAAAGAATCAGAAATGATGAGTGCATTTCAGACCACAATAAAAGTGAAATGTAGACAGTAATGTGTAAATCCTCCAATTTACATCACAAAATAGACAGAATTTTCAGGAATGTGCAGCACCACATTCTGGGATTCATAATGAGGTAACCAAACTTTGGCAGAGCTGAAGCTGCCCTATCCCATTGTACACAAGCAGGCTTACGAATACATCTTTTAATCTGCTCAAAATATTGCTCTGAACTTTGAGGCGGTCTTGCTGACAAATACATCTCACTCGTCAACTGCGTGCAGGTCACGTTGGAGCATTTCTGCAGTGAAATTTCTGCTACACAACCTGTACTTATTTGCTCATACATCACATTGCATTAGTTATTACAGTGGCTAATGAGCAGGAAGGGATACTTCACACCACAATTCGTGTGAACTCTCGCTCCCCGTGGAGAGACCAGGGGTTTGCAACAACATGGAAACTAAGTTCACAAAGTTCATGATTTTGTACTTAATTCTGAATTTGTAAAATTTATTTATTTTGTTCCAGAGAAATTGGGACTTCAATTCTCCTTTAATGTCAATTTGTTGCACAGATCAGAGTGACCTTTGCCAATACCCCTTGGAATTAGATACAAGTATTCACAATTGCCTCTGTTGAAGAAGGAACAGATTTAATTTGCCCTTTTAGCTTTGCCTGACCTGATTTGATGGGACACAAGCTATTTCAAAGGTTCCTTCCTCAACAGCAGTATCTTCTAACATACAGAACAAAGTACATTGTCTAGGAAAGAGCAACACTGAATTAAATCCTTCTCACAGGTTGATGTTTCAAATCCAGTATTAACTGTTTTGCACTTATCAGCATTAAAATATCTCAGGTTTCTGCCCTATCATGAATAGACTCAAATCTAATGCCCTTATTCTCTCTGTATGTGCCTTTCAGAGAGACTTGGATCCAAGATCCTCTACTATTTCTTGTGCCACTACTACAGTGTTTGTAACTCCCCACATTTAAAAAAAAACTGCAAATACTACACAAATACTTGCTAAACCTTACCAACACCCTGCATATGAACCAGTTCTTAATCACAATGCCGGCATTTTCTTGGATTTGTACACCTTTCAACTGTAGAATCAATCTTTACCTCTAATATACCATATTTTCACAACAATCTTTAGTTGAATCTAGCCGATTCAATAATATTCCCATTTAGGTTAATGACCAAAGATCTAGTTAACAGTCGATGAATAACAGCCCTCATTTCTTTAGAAGCCTGGTTTCCGGAAAGTGTTTACTATAAACTTTACCATAACAGTCTCCCATTATCATGGTCACTCTTGACCTATGGATACATAGAGACGTAACCAGGGAGACAGAAAAGTGTATTATGAAGAGAGAGAAATATCAGTCCGTCAAACATAAAACCTCATCATTTAGTCAGTGCTCTGCCATTCAGTCAGTCCCTCCGTACCAGTGCTGTGTGGTAACCGGGCCGGCAGGGTGTTGTAGCCCCTCCAGTCCTGCGGGGGCAGGCCATTGCTGGAGGGGGGACTGGTGAGCAGAGCGCTCTCCTGGTCCTGCTGGCACAGCTGGCGCGACAGTCGAGCGTGGCGTGCAGACAGCAGGTAAAGGAAGGCCGTGTCACCATGACGACGGACACCGTAGGATGCCAGAGTGCGCTGGTCTGCGCACAGACACTGACCTATCACCCAGCGCTGCACACGGGGGTGAAACCCATAGTCCAGAAAGACCTGTGAGAGGTGAGGGAGAGTGGAACCGACAGTGAAGAGGGAGAGACAAGTAGACAGAAATGGAGACAGGAAGTAAGCAGAAGGCTGCTATCTTTCCATTATTTTTATTGGTTCACAAATAAACTGTAAAAAAATACCTCTTAAAGACAACTGCTTTGTTTAAACCACTTTTGACAACTGCTATCTGCTTTCTTGATCTAATTAAAGGTTGAGGATCATCTCCATTTCATGAGAACTGTTGACTACCTCATTATTTTGTATTAATCCTCATTCAAGTCACAGTGAAATAAATACTTATTTTCCTTTGGTGAAAAAAGAGAGGGTTATGGTCACTCACTGTCTGCTCACATTATCAAATATTGAACTTCCACATCTTGGTGTATAGCAGCCATGATATCAGTTTAAAAAAGTTTAAAAATACTTTAAATTGTTAAGTGGTCACACATTCTGAATAACTAAACAGGTTAAAATATGACAATTATTAGATGAAAATACTGGTGTTTTGTTATAGTCAAGTTTATAGTCGTTTAAAACAAGAAAGTTAAGAAAGTATAATTGTACAAAAAAAAGCAAAGACTGTGATAAAGGGTGAGAGACCGAAACCCATAGAAGGAAACAAACACAGAAACCAACTAAAAGGGGGCTCTAGTCTCACCTGCTGTTTAAGGGAGGTAATGGTCATGTGAGGGAAGACTTTCACTGTGACACAACAGGAAGAGGAAGCGTCCTCCACTGCTACCTTCAAACTGAGAGAGAGATACTGTTAGTATCCAACTCTAGCTGTTGGTATATAGCAGCAGCACATATTCCTTTTATCGTCTCTCATTCCTCCTTCAGTGACTCACAGGGAGACAACTGATGCACTCGCCTGTGTAAGTCGAGTTGGTGGCCCTTGTCCCTCTGGACCAGAATTTCCAAAAAAGTAATGCCTGAATCCAGAGAGACGGCACTATAGAAGCTTCCTTGAATGAATCATGAAACTGAGGTGCTGCCTACTTGGCCATTAAAAGTCCAATGGCACCTTAAAATATGAACCAGAATGGGTGCCTACCACAGTAACCTGGGTACATTTCACTCACTAATATCCCACCTTAATTCAGCTGATGAAGTAATTTCACACTTCTCCATCTGATTTGCTGTATTGTGGCACTGCTGGCACATAATGGCAACCATGCCTCACCCAAGTAGGTACCGCCCTTCAGTGATAGATAAAACATACCTCCTTCTAGATGTAAAAAGCTTCAGAATGAAAAATGCAATATAAACACAATTATTAATTATTCCTCTCTACCACCTTCAAACCGCCATGGACACTGTTGATACACTGCTCTATCTCTTTGTCCGACAATAACTCTTTTATATTGAGAGTAAGAGAAAGTAATGTTAACATCGGGGGAGATTCAGTGGAGCTAGTAGGACAATACAAGTACTTGGGGACCATTCAAGGCTCCAAGTTAAATTTCGAAGCCAATGCTGACTTGATCCTCAAAAAAGGATAACAGCATCTTTTCTTCTTAAGGAAGCTAAAGTCGATGATTCATTGTTGATTTTGTTCTATCGGTCCTTCCTTGAATGTGTTCTAGCTTTTACCCTGATCTGCTGGTTTGGCAACCTGAAACTGAGAGGCAAGACAAACTGGGCAGCCTTGTGAAAATATGTCAGATGTCATTTAGTGTTGATCTTCCTGCCCTCTCCTCCATCTATCATAGACGTGTTTTGCGTAAAGCAAAATCTATCTGTGACGATCCTTCACACCCCTTCTTCAATAATTTCCAGTTACTCCCGTCAGAACGCAGATACCGCCTCCCCAACTCCAAAACAAACAGGTTTAAACTCTGATTCATACCTGTAGCTTTAATGTTGTTTAACACTTGATTTTCTTTGCAAATATGTCTACTGTTGTTTTTTTTCTGTCCGCCTGTACACCAACACTGCTGCTGGAAAACAAATTGCCCCCTTGGGGATAATAAAGACTCTCTCCCTCAATTCATAAGATTCATCCGTGATATTCCCATCTCCTTTCAATCATTCCTGCTCTCTCATACTCTCTTACCCCTCTTCGCCCTGTAGGCTTCCAAACTGTACTACCCATTATGCCCTCCACTCTAACCTCCCACATGCCTCTCAGCTTCTCTCACCTGATCTCGGTGTCCGGGTAGCTCTTCTCTCGGAGTCGGACTGTGAGCTCTGCCTGCTGGCGGGCCAGTGACACTGCGCACTGGGAGGCTGAGCTGGCGTCGCCGGCCTCAATTGCTGTGGCCAGTTCTATACACAGGTCCTCTGCAAAAACAGGGGAGAGGGGAGCATAGAGGAAAGGGAGCTTGTCATTCATGGGTCTGTGTTCCCAGCTATGTCACAGCTATTTAAAGGCCAGCCTTTCACAACCTCCATAAAACCACCTCTTGATGCTGACTGGTTTTCTGCTGTCTGGTTAAAAGCTTATTAACTTCATTAAATAAACAACTGGCTATATCAAACTCCCATACAGGACTAGGCAGAAGGTATTTGACAGTCCCTGCACAGGCAGAAAGACAGGTCAGTAATCTTTACTTATTAAAGCTCAAAGTGAGTCCATCCTCATATCTGTAAGAGTTCTTATTAGTAACTTATAAGTGAGGCCTGTCCTGTCTGTTAAATATCTATATTTGCAATCAAGAGCTCTCCCCCTGTTCTGTCATAATATTTGAAGAGTGCTGTCAGAAGCTCAAGCTGCATGTGTCCAGCACAGAATGGCAGTTCATAGTACTTCTACTTTTATGGACAGCTGCTTCCACATTGGCAGGGGAACTTACATTTACTGTTTAAAATAACTCAACTGCAAGACTCTGCACGTTGAGAATATAAAATTAAAAAATGAATTCCTTACACTTATATAGCACTTTTCTGGACACTCCACTCAAAGCGCTTTACAAGTAATGGGGATTCTCTTCCACCACCACCAATGGGCAGCCCCCACCTGGATGATGTGACGGCAGCCATAGTGCGCCAGAACACTCACCACACATCAGCTATCAGTGGGGAGGAGAACAAAGCGATGAAGCCAGATCCTAGACAGATAGGTCTCATCCAAAGGATGGCATCTTTTAACAGTACAGTGTCACCATCACTATACTGGGGCATTAGGTCCCACACAGACTGCAGGGTGAGCGCCCCCCTACTGGCCCTTCTAATACCTCTTCCAGCAGCAACCTTAGCTTTCTCAGGAGGTCTCACATCCAGGTAGTGGCCAGGCTCACACCTGCTTAGCTTCAGTGAGCTGCCAGTTGTGGCTTGCAGGGTGACATAATAAAGCACCACCCGATTGTCTGCCTGTCCCATATTAAAATCTATGATTAAATACACTTTAGAAAAGCATTTCTAACCTGTTCCACTAAAGGAGCCGTTCTAAACTGAGCTGAATCATCACAGGGGAGAACAGTAAGGGGATGTGGACCTGCACCCGAGAGGGAAACAGAGGGAAACGTCACAACTTCTTGAGCACTGAGGTGTGAAAAAGGTCAACACTCACCTGTGCGTGGCAGGGTAACAGACGCTGTGGGTTCCAGGGGTTCCAGGTGGAGCTGCCTCTCCTCTGGGGTCTGGGAGGAACTGTCTGCCACTGGGATACCAGGAGAGAGGAGGACAGGGGGGAAGATAGGTAAGTGGTTGGTTTAGGTGGTCTAAACACTGGGAACCCCCTTTACTGATGCCATCTTCACACCTGCTGAACACAGCACACACAGCAGAAAAAAACAAACATCTGGCAGTCAGCTAACCTTTCACTCACTGAACTGAGCTATTAAGGCCCTGCAAGGCAGACACAATCACCAGCTTTAAATCATCCGTGAGAGAAACACAAAAGCATACCTGGACGACGGGTACTATAATTCAAAACTTCAAACCAAGCTTGAGTGCTTCTGTCTCTGCTAAGGGACCATGGCCAGATGCAAGCTCATCTTACAGTAATGATCTTTAAGTAGATCCTGACACTGAGCCAGTGCACCTCACAGCCCTCAGTCTGGAGGCCACAGAAAGTCCCAGAAGCCCAGAGTCACCTCCTGCTACGGTGAACAAAATACACAAATTATCAGGGCCGATCACATGCACTTCAAGGAATGGATCAGCGTGTTATGTTGTCAACTGTGTGAATTTTCATCTGTCAGCTGATGTCTGCAAACTCCACACCCAAAGTAGAACAAGGAAGATGGGGACAGACTTAATAATAAACTTTATTTTATACTGGACCTTTAAAGGTGGCTTCTCAAAGCGCATCTGAATACAGTAGGAGCAGAAGAGTAAA